AACATCTTCAACATCTATGATGTTGTCTATTGTTCCAGGGATGAGAATTTTTGTTTTCTTGATGTTGAGATGTAATCCACATTGAAAGCTGTAGTCTTTTATAGACATTTCAAGTTCTCCTCACTTTCAGCAACCAAGGCTGTTATCTGCATAACGTGCATTGTTGATGAGTCTTCCTCCCGTCCTGCGGCCACATTCTTCATAGAGTCCAGGGTCTCCAATGACTTGCTCAGCATACAACCTGAGTAGATATGGAGCAAGGATACAGCCCTGATGCACACTTTTTTAAATTTTAAACCATGCAGTGTTCCCTTGCTCTGCTTCTTGGTCTAGGTATAGATTTCAATGCATGAGCACAAGCAAGTGTTTTGGGATTCCCATTCTCCTCAATGTTAGCCAGAAATTGTGAAGATCCACGTAGTCCAATGCCTTTGCATAGTCAACAAAACAGAAATAGACATCCTTCTGGTATTTTCTGTAAATATTCATCTGAAATTAGCAACGATACCTCTGGTGTCATGGTCTCTTCTACATCCAGCCTAAAATTTTGGCAGTCAATGTATTATTCTAACAATTTTTAAATAATCTTTAGCAAGATTTTGCATCCATATGCTGTTAATGATAGTGTTCAATAACTTCCACATTCTGCTGGGTCCCCTTTTTTAAAAACATAAACAGATATGGATTTCTTTCAGTCAGCTGCCTTCCAAATTTCCGAGTGAGGTGTAGTGAGCACATTTGGATTTGCATAGGTTTGTTGAAACAGGTCCATCGGGATTCCATCCATTTCTGGTGCTTTATTTTCGCCAATCCTTTCAGGGTAGCTTGAATTTCTTTCCTGATCATATGCTACTTCCTGAAATGGTTCTGTATCCACCAATTCTTTTTTGTACAGTGACTCAGTGTATTCTTTCCATCTTCTTCCCCCCCACCCCCCATCTTCTTTTGATGCTTCTTGGATCATTCAGTTTTTGCCCACGGCATCCTTAAGTAGGCAACCAGAGAGCCTTCGTATCTGTACATTGCTTGTTTTTATGGTTTGTTATTAGAGTGGGAATTATTACTTATTAAGCATCAGAGAGCTAAGTGATGACTAAGGAAGACAGAGTCAATGCCTTTGAGTTGTGGTGCTGGAGAAGAGTACTGAACACATCATGACTGCCAAGAGAACAAACAGGTCTCTCCTGGAAAGGATGAAACCATGTTGCTCCTTGGAAGCAAGGATTGTGAAGCTCTGTCTCGCATACTTGGGCATGATGCCGGGAGGGACCAGTCCTCGGAGAAGGACATCATGCTTGGAAGAGTGGATGGTCAGCGCAGGAGAGGAAACCTTGGATGAGATGGATTGACACAGTGACTGTGGAGGCAGGTGTGTTGAGGACAGTGAGACGGGCTCAGGACGGCGTGAAATTCAGAGCTACTGTTCATATGGGTCATAGTTGACTCCACAGCACGTAACAATTACAATACAACACTTAGCTGATACTTTATTTTTTTAGGGAATTGATTTGCATGTTGCTGTTCATTTTACATTTTAGGTGCTATACTCTTTCTTGTTTATACTTTGCTTTTATGAGTACAGCACTTGTACTGTACTGGAGGGACTCGCAAGTTGCTGGGATGTTAGAAGCTATGCCACCAGTATTTAAAATACCAGCTGGGCCACCCATGGTGGACCGATTTCAGTGCAGCTTCCTTATTAAGACAGACTAGGAAGCAGAACTGGCCATTCACTTCTGAAATAACAGGCCTTTGAAAACCCTATGAATAACAGAGGTACACTGTTAAGATACATCATCGGAGGTGGAGCCCTTGATTGGAAGGCACTAAAAAAAGAAAAAATATCTGCAAATATCCATTAATGATCAGAACCCAGAATGAATGGAGTGTGAATCCGGAAAAACTAGAAGTTGTAAAAAATGAAACAGAACTCATGAACATCGATATTCTCGAGATAAGAAGGCTGAGATAGGCTCAGGCTCTGGGCCGCCGGGGTCGCTGAAGGATCTCAAGTTGGCTGGGCGAAAACTTACTCTGAAAGCCATTGACTGGGTAGCTTTTGGGGAGATTATACTCTGAAACCAGAGGCTATTGCTAACTCCCTGAAGTCCTGGAGTGAGATTCTCACCGCCAGGTTGGCTGCTCTCCCGGAGAAACCTCCAACTATTGACTGGGCTTACTACAAGGTCAACGTGGCCAAGGCTGGCTTAGTGGACGCCTCTGAGAAGAAGTCTAACGCCCTGAAGGTTCCCGTGCCAGAGGATAAGTATACAACCCCGGTAGATGTCGAAGAAAAAGAAGACATGAAGAGTTGTGCGGAGTTTGGTCTCTCTCCAAGACCAGGACTGAGGAGTACGAGAAGCAGCTGGAGAAGTTGAGGACCATCATTCTGTTCGAGCAGATGACCATTGAATGAAGCTTTCCCGGAAACCAAGTTAGACAAGACCAAGTATCCCTACTGGCCTCACCAGCCAATTGAAAACTTATAAACCTGAGTCTGGCAGGGAGCACCGGCCCTGCAATGGCAAATTTGGAACATTAAAAATAAGACTGATAAAAAAAAAAGAAAGCTGAGATGGACTGGCATGGACCACCTGAAGCGACTATACACATGGATCACACCTGACAGAATGCACAGGAACCAGACTGACTACATCTGAAGAATTCTCACTGGAGAACTCAAACACCAGCAGTCAGAACCGGGCCTAGCGTTGACTGTGCGACAAACCAACTACTCAGATGCAAGGTGAAATTGAAGCTGAATGAGAACGTGTCCACAAGAACAAAAATGTGGTCTTGAATCTCTCCTCCCTGATTTTAAAAACCATCTTAACGACAGAGTGGAGGCACTGAAGAGCAGATGACAGGAAGGAGATCATCCAGGAAGAAAGCAAAGGTTGTTATTATAAAGACAGAGGCGAAAGAAAAACCAAAATGGATGTCAGAGGGGAT